ATATGAAAAGTCATAAAAGTCAAGGAGTTAATTGAAATGTTGTATAGATGAAATAGGTAACTTAGGATTCGAGTTTGGAATAAAGAGGAAGGAGTCCCCAATTTTATGCTAGCCTATCTCCCATTTGATGCTCGAGCAAAAAAATAAAAACATTGTCACCTACATGTCGTCTAACTCTCACTCGAGCACACTAGTCGCTCGCCTGTTGCTAGCTTACGCTCGAGCGACGGTGTTATGCATAAAATCCTAATTCGTATTTTTCAAAAGTTTTATCTTGCTCATACTACCTATTTGCCTTCTACCATAGATACCCAAGCCCTAATACATTTTTGGTGTGGTTGTTCATTATATTCATTCTCCATATGATCATATCATTATTCAAAGATTCAAGAACATATTCAAGTCTAAGATTGATCCTCTGATTCATAATACCACAACTTTGTAAAAAACATCAAATTTACATAATTCAAAAAACCACTTCCTATACACAAACAAGAATGTAATTTCTCAATAACTTTCAAAAGTTGCTGAAGATTGAGAGATGTTGGACCAAAAGCACCAGAAGAGTACAAGAACAAAGTGTGATCCACAAGAGATAAACAATTCTAGAAGATTAGGAACGGATGTGAGTGAAGTACGTTCCAACTGGCTTTGGAGGTTACATGAATTGGATCGACGCATTTAGTGGAATTTTTAGGTTGGATTGTACTGTAAGTTCTTATTGTCTATAGTGGAGGTTACTAGCTCGGTTTCAAAGCTTTTAACGAGTTAGGTTTTGCCATCAACAATTCTTGGATTCTTTATTGCTTTCATATTACAAATTGTGGCAGTTCAACATAGAATAAATTGACTTGATTGACTAAATACGTAGAACAATTAATAAGTAACTTCTTGTTGTTAACTGATAATTTTAATTATGTAGTTTTCACCTATTCACCCCCTTTAGATTATTTTAAAGTCGAACTAGTAACTTTCAAATGGTATCAGTGCCCAAATTTGATTCCTGACCCTAACTTTTAAGGTGTATAGTTCATTATTTGACCCGCAATATTTTAATGGCTATAACTATGCCTATTGGAAAATTAGAATAAGAGTCTTCCCGAAATCAATGGATGAGTGTATTTGTTTGAGTGTAGTAAATGGTTGGACTTCCCCTTCTACCGCCGTCAATGGTGTTGTGAACCTCACTCTTATAGCAAATTGGTCGAAGACAAATTTAGATGAGTACAATTGGAAAAATAAAGCCTTACATGTCTTATTTATGGCAATGTCCCCTAAAGATTTTTGGAGAGTGTCTATGTGTAAGGTTGGGAAAGAGGTTTGGGATATTTTATAGACCACACATAAGTGAACTCAAGTAGTTAAGAACTCTATGTTATAGATGTTGACTTCTCGATTTTAAGAGATTAGGATGAAGGATGATGAGATTTTTTATGACTTTTGTGGGAGCTTGAATAACATAGTTAATTCTAGCTTCAACCTAGGTGAGAGAATTCCTGAGTCTAAGTTGTCAAAAAAATCCTTAGATCCTTATTTGAGAGGTTTTGGGCTTAAAATCACGGCTATAGAAGAGAGTAAGGACATGGATGCTATTAAGATTGAAAAATTAGTTAAATCTCTCCAGGCTTTCAAACTAACATTAGTTAAACCAACAAAAGATAAGTCATTGGCCTTGAACACCGTTAAAGATAATCGTAATGAGTCTTCTGATTCAGAGTCCAATGATGAGGAGATAACATATTTTGGTAAGAAATTTCGAAAAATGCTTAAAAATAAGAAGAACCCTCAAGAGAGACGCACAGATGCTCCCAGTGAGTCTAGAAAGATATCTCAATCTTTGAGATTCGTGAGTGCCAAGACTTTAGCCATTTTTGGAGTGAGTGCCCTAACAGTAGGAGGAATAAAAACAAAGCTATGACAAGTCTAACTCGGATAATCAAAGTGAGAAGTCCACTTAGGATGAGGACGAAAAGTATATGGCTTTCACTACTAGGATTATGAGTGAATCTGATAAAGAGAGTGGGAAAGTTGAGGTTGTCGATAGTGGTGAGCAATCTTAGGAGGATTCTAAAAATGAGGAAGACATAAATGAAGCATATGATAATTTATATAAGGAGAGCCTTAGGACATTGACTACCAATAAAGTCTTATATACGAGGATCAAAGATCTTGAGTTAGAGAAAGAAAAACTAATAGCTAACCCTTAGGAATCTACCTAGTCCATGAGTAAGTTGAACTCTGTGAATGAATTGTTATATACTCGGGTTAAGAATCTTATGAATGATCTTAAGAAGTCCTCTGGGAGATATAGTAAGTTGAATTTGTTAATGAGTCTTTACATAATAAGGTTAAGACCCTTATGAGCGATCTTGAAGATTCCAACATCCAACTTTTTGCATTCTCTAGTGGTTCAGTAAAGGTTGATGACATTTTAGGTATAAACAAGCTTGCTGATGATAAGGGAGGTCTAGGATATAAGCAGAATGATCACAATCGTACTAGTACTTCCAAGACCATTTTTATCCCTGCTACTGACTCGCCTAAATATGTTTCTAACCCTGAACCCAAAAATAAGGGAATCATAGTACAGAGGCCTACTAGACAGCGTAGGACTTACCAACCTAAGAATAGAAATCAATAACCACATAATCTTAGTCCTAGGTTTATCTCTACTTGCCTCAATAGTGGTGAGTTAAGACATGTCGGTACATGTTTGTATTTATTCATTTTGATTCATTCATTATCACATGCATCTCATTTTTGTACTTGCTTTTTTGGTAGTGGTTCATATATGTGTATCTTCATCAGGTTTGCATTGGCACACGCATATTTTTTGTTGTTTTGTCTGTTGATTTTCTTATTTTATGTGATTAATGTATTCATGTTAAAAAAAATAAAAAAAAAATAACTACAGCATTATATATGATGAACTTGAAAGTGTGTTGTGACCAAGTATGAGTTTAATTGATGTGTTATAGCATATTTTCCATTAGTTTGTTTAGGTTTTTCTGAAGTACTTAGTATATATTTCTTCATATACCATCTACACTGCACACACTATAATATTGTGAGTGGGACTTGACCGTGTATGTGAGATTTGGAATGATAGTCATATGCTAGTAAGTGACTTTGAACATGAATTGAGCTTATTTTAATAGGCTTAAGCTCAAGTATATTCCCTTGAAAGAAAAAACCCAATATCTTATAATCTTCTTCCATATCTATTTGATTCAAACAATTAAGTTTGAGAGGTTTCTCATAATCTGATGCCTATGGTTAACTAACTTGGGTTAATTGGCTTAAAGTATGTTACAGGGTTCATCTTGGTCACTTGATGGAGAAGAACCTACACAAAAGATGTGAAAAAATGATGAGCTTAAAATTTAAAAATGTGTAAAAATAAATATGCTCAGAGTTAGGGGGAGAAAAGAATAATATACATGAAAAATGGGCTTCTTTTATAAGTCTTAATATGCTATTAAGTAAAGGGATAAACTTATTGACAAAGATAATTAGCATGTCATTTATCACAAAATTAAGGTTTGGAGTCGTGCTTACAAAGGATTGGTGACACTTTATACACTTAGGTCACTTATAAAATTTACTTCATTTTAACTTGAACTGATTATTTAGGAAAGTCTACTCACTATTAATTATGCTTGTGCATGCTATCAGCTGTGTCTTTGAGTTATTATATAGTGATATTCATGTGTATTTGATATAATTTTCTTAGTCATTTGTGACAAAAATAGGGAGAGAGATTTGGTTGTAATTTTGAGTTGAAAGTTAGCTGCATTTTATGGAGAGTTTGCAGTAAGGGGAAGAAATGATAGTATTTTTCATTCATGGCATTTTATATCTTAACGTATAATTTTTTATTTTTATTTTTTTTAGTTTTTGATGCTTGATAATATTAATAATTCAAGTAGTGTATTGATTAACACTAATAATATTTCTCAATCTAGAACGCATATTTATGATAATGTGTAACAATTATTATATTCTTGTATCACTTACCGTTACACTTGGTATTTGAGTTGTTAATTTCAAGAAACAAGTTCAACAAGGAATGCAAGATATCAGTTTAGGTTTGGATAGATTAATTTGATTTTACTTTCTTGACTTATATTGTATAGTTTTGTACATAATGCCAAAGGAAAAATTTGTTAGGATTTTATTGTATTGGCAATTTTTTCGACAAAAAGACTAATATGAAAAGTTGTAAAAGTCAAGGAGTGAAATGTTGTATAGATGAAATATGTAGCCTAGGGATCGAGTTTGGAACAAGAAGGGCAGAACCGTTGGATTTACGCTAGCCTGTCGCCCATTTGATGCTCTAGCGAAAAAACAGAAACATTGTCGCCTGCATGTTGCCTAGCTCTCGCTCGAGCGACACATATATCTCTCGTCTGTCGCTAGCCTCGTGCTCGAGTG